TAGGGTCGCGATAGTGCTGGTATTGCATTACTTAAAATGATGTATTCCCCAGGCGTATATTCGATGTCTCTGTGTGCTACCGATGGGATGTAATCGAAAAACGGAAACATCTTTGTACGATTGGACTGCAATATGTGTTGGATTGAGCAACGGATACGTTCGTTTCTTCACTGATCGAGGCCTGCTACTTCGTTCAGATCATGTCTCTTGCAGGTTAGATTTTAGTGGTTTTAGCCTCACTCGGGAGGAAGCGAGCCTAAACCGAACTTTGATTCGAACTTCCTTTCCTCCCGTACTTTTTCCTTTGTGGATAGTCGCAGTCTTCTTCTGTTCCCGTTTCCTGTCACAGTGGCAAGACCTCTCCCTGATTCTGTTGATTGTACACTGGACGACCCTTGGCTTATCCGCTTCGTACTTAACTGTATGTGTTTGCAGCGCGATCGAAGAGATTCGTTTGGGTCGCTCGCTAATGGCTGGTGACCAGGAAGTGGCTGTGCTTTCGCAAACTGACCTAACCTGCATCGAAGGGCTCTCTCTTTTTATCGCTTTGAGGACTGCCAAAAGCCAAGTTTGCATTTCGTTTTCTTCCCATTCCATTCGAAAACTTCAACTTCCCACTGTCTGTGCCCCTTGCTCTGTGTGTTGTTGCACAGGGCAAGATCATTGTGGGGTCGTCGGACAAGTGGTGCTGTGCTCTGGCGTACTCGTGACCAGCTTAAGCTTGCTACACAAGGTAACTGCCACTCAGCATTTCGTCAATAACAGGTCTTTTTAGTGATCGGGTTCGATGCAGAATTGGGCGATTGGGCTGCTTAATCTGGCAGCTGGGGTGGCGTTGACAGTTGGATTAAAGTAAGCCTAAAATAGGTGCTTTTCGCTCAGAGCGCTGACAGTTTATGGGAATTGGCGGGATACTTGTGTCTGACACTTCCTCATTCGTCGCTGTCACTGAAAATGGGCAACATTTCTCGTTGATACGCTCGTTTACTCTCGTTGACTTTTCAGCTTGCTCGTGGCGAAACCGATCTCGAAAAAATTGCTGCATATGGGAAATTAAATGTGGAAAAACTGAAATTCGGATCGGAATTTTGCGTGGTAGATTTTGGTGTTTCTGGTCCACTAAAACCCACTTGGTTCGATCTTCACAGTGCTGCCGCTCTTTCGGCGAAAGGTTTCAAAGTTGGGCTTTCATTTTTTTCCCCCCTTATTTTCTTCTGTTTCTGCGAATGTACAACGTACTGTAACAGATTCCTATTTGTAACTCTGAAAACCCTGAAGTTGCTAGAAAACTGTGTTTTTTATCCCTCTGACATAGCCTGAAATACTCTCCGAAGTCGGATTTATGGCATCAAACATCATGCGATCAGGTGGTTTCTGAACTGAGCATCTTGTTGGCTATCGTGTTTTGGTCAGCTACAGTTCATGGCGCCTTTTCAGTTGCCTTGGCCAAGGTAGCATCGCCTCGCAGTCAACCTGCTTGTGATCCTGGCATTCGCTCTCTCTCTCTTGCGATAACAGCACTTTGACAGTGCTTTAGCTGTTCTCAGAACATTTCATATGTTGGGTGCCTAAAAGTACCTCTTTAAACACTTTCATTCCCAAACCCTTCAACGACTGGGAGAAGCACTTGTATTAAAATTCGAAATCGAAATGTTTTTAATCCACCTCATATCAAAATATGCTTGGAATTGAAACAGAATATACTTTTGTGCTGTGTTACAGCAGCTCAAAACGCATATTGTCACCCCCTTGTCTGTGCGTGTGTGTCCGGATGTGCTTTGTCTTGCACTTTTAACTCAGAACCACAAAAGCTAGGAGCGAAAATTTTAGTAGAATGTTCTTCGTTCTCAAATGATCCCAAAAATTTAAACTCAGTCTTTACGCACACCTGAGCCCCATGCATGACCCTGTAATGGTTTTGGGGAGAAAAATCATCGCGGAAAGCGGAACAGCTAAGGGACTGAGATTTCAGGAGAATGTTTTCTGCTCGTGCAGGGAGGGGCCCAGATTTGCATGGGTGATAGGGTTATTCAGGTAGTGTGCAAAAAGGGCCGCATCAGTGAAGAGAAAATTAGGATTTTAAGGCTATTTTCATAAGCAATCAGTGAGAAGGGATGAGGGTTAGGTTTTACGATGCCTTGACCCCGGGAATTTGAATTTCGCAACCTTGACTATACAAATAAGAGTCTCAAACTTTCGAATTCAGTTCTTAATCACGCTTGGTCCTGACGAACAAGCTTTAAGAATTAGAACGGCTAGGTCATATTCAATGAACGTCTGGTCATCGGAAACGATTCATTTTTCATGCAGAGCATAAACCTTCAGGACATTCCTTTCCCCTCTCCACGCCTCTCCGTCCCCATAAACGTCACCGATTCCAGTTCCTACCTCCAACCAAGATTTTCTCGGTTTCCGCGATTCGCAAACTAGCCGGAGCCGAGCCGAGTTATAGTAGTTTCTCCAAATTAGCATCGCTTACTCACAGTGTGGTCGTGGCCGTACGGTTGCGGTGCATCACTTCCGTTTGGTGCTTCGATTTTTGGGCTTGTTTTCCTGCTTCGGGCGTTGGGTTATTGCAGCATCTAATTTTTGGGTTGCCAATTTACCTCGTGAGAGACACTCGCAATATCGCTCGCAAAGCGGAAGTTATTTGACTGCTACCAGAGATCTCTAAATCACCTTTACAATGAGGCAGGCTGTGAAAACCATTGGATGATGTGAGGATGCCTTATCTCTCGATCGGTCTGCGGATTGAGATAGGAAGAAGCGCTCTTTGTCGCAGCCTTTTTGATGCATTTGAGTCTTTTTTGCAGGCCAGAGTTGAGCGCACTTCGCTTCCACTGTATTCAACTTATGTGTTTGCTGGCCGCTCGCCGTATGTCGGCTTTGGCTGGTATTCACCAGGGGTGTCACAGAATGTTCTTAGCGAAGCGTTGTATAGTTTAGGAAGCCAGGTAAGGCAATTTTTGTCTACTTTGGCTTTTTCTGGTTTAGCTTAATTTTTTTCCGAAAGCATTCACATGAAATGAGTCTTCTGATAATTGGTTGCCAGCTGAGTGCATTGTGAGCTCATCGGTGAGCAAGTGCAGTGACATCAATTGAACTGAGTTACTTTTTGTTGAGATGAATGCGTTTTCAAAATTGTTTCCCCTGTTCATCAGGCTGGACGGCTGTTGCCACACATCATAGTGCTGCGCGATTTTGGGATTCGAGTTCAGTCTGTGTATACAGCTGAGGGATGAAACACAGACTGCTTCGTAAAATTTATGAAGATACACATGACATTTAAGTGAAATCTTTCTTTTCTTC